AAAAGGCAACCACATCGCCTCACCCCCCATTGACGCCTTCCAGTGAGAGCACCAAAAGCACTGAAACCACACTACCCAGCACAAAGCCTACTTTCCTTTCTTCACACTGTTGATTCAAACATCACAATCATCGCAATCGCCACAACCACTACCACACGCATACCCACACCCCTTCCCCTTCCCTTCCTTGTACCTGCACTTAGGTTGCCGCCACCACCAATCCTGGCACCTGGCGAATTTTGAGACAACTTCATAGCATAAAGTCCTGGATTATATCTTGACACACTTTCTCACTCTGTCGTCCCATTTCCCATGACCATAATTTCACCTCGACTACTATTAAAGAACCTATATTTTTCTTCGTAAATGGATCTACATGTGTTGTGGCTTTATCGACTCAGCGAACAAATATCCAGTGGCTGGTCCGCATTTATTTGACACAAGTGGCGTTTAGGTATCTCTTCTTACCCATACTGTACAAATATTGTGCAAGTAATAGCAGACCCTAACGGGGCTGTAAGTGGTTTACAAGCTTGACATTATGAAGGTGTGTATTATTGGCTGCATTTACCGGAATGGTAATAATGAGCATTGACATGAAAAGCGTGATTTTTCCGCACTCTTATATAGTTGTCTTTCGGTAGAATGCGCCACTGATGTGCTGCATTAGGCGACAGAATTTAACGCTCATTATGCGGAAGAAAGGCTACCGCGCCAAAGTGTTGAAGGGAATAGTTTCCAGGTGCACCTGATGTGATGTCAGTTTTTACGGTGGCTAATGGAAGTACAGCTATTGATATAGTTATGCTGTCAGAAATGGCTACATATAGTAACCCTGTAATTTCATATCATGCGGAAACAAAAATAAGTTTGCTTAAGTAGAAAACAAAGGAAACAAAACTAGTCGAAGGGCAATTTCAATGATGAGCACAACGGTTAATCGCCGAGATCACTTTGTGTGACATCGTTTAACTCTAGATGTAAGGCTTTGATTGCTTGCTAAACATTACATTATAACAAATGACACGTCCTTTCAACGAGGCCAGCAGCCTTGCAGCTGTTCTGCGTGCCGTGATATATTTCTTATTACAGCAGATAAAACTGCTCAAATAACATCAATTTTAACGAAAGATACAAATACAAACGGTGTAAGTGTGTGCCATCACGTCCTTCCCGTACAAGTCGTCCTAACAAAATGCCCTTTAATTTGCAATGGGTCAAGCATGAAAAGTGTGTATTAATTTACTACAATGAAAGGGCTCTGAATTAGCAACGTACAAAATACAAACCCAAATCATTGTATTAGAAAATAGTTAAATTATTTCTCATAGCCGAGTAAACTATTATGCAGAAATGTTAAAAGCACTATGAAGATAACAAGTTTTCGGGTTTTTACTTGGATTGTTATTAGATTGGTTGGATAAAATCTCGTTGATTTTCTCATTAAGAAATTACACA